GGGCGGCAAAAGTGGCTCCGTGGTGAGGGTGCCGGCGTCGAGGCCGCGTTGTCGAGTCCTGCCCGCAGCAAAATCCAGTTGAAAAGGACAGCGTTTCCCAGCAGTGGGGTGCAGGGGTGAAGCTGGGCTGGAGAGCCAGTGGAGAACCAGGGTGAGTGTGGTTGGCGCAAAATTATTGTCAGAATTGTTTTTCCTTTAGCTTTCTGACTGTACGGAACACGATGAATGAGAGTATGAAGAGAGTTGGGCCTGTCTGTCCTCAGACTTACAAATAGGGCGTATAACTAGTTGCTGAATGGTTTCTAGCTTACTGAAGTCACTCTCAGCCACCAAAAGCAAGTTTCTAAGCAATTCTCTTGATTATGCTTACAGTTTAGAGGTTTTAATATTTTTCGGATTCCAACATTTTCCACTGTTAAAGGAAGAAAGTACACTAATTTCTATATTTCTACATTTGTATATTTGATTTCTAGGAAATAAGCATTCAGCTACTCTGAAGAATGAAGATGCTGCTCAAAGGTATAATTTCTAACTAACAGTATGGCATTCATGTTGTTTTGCCTCACTTTGAAATCGCATTCTCTGCCTCGCGTGTTTTGCTTTCTCAGAGTACCATGACTAACTTCAAGAGATCGCCAGCACCAACATCATGCAGGCTTGTTTGGAGTGATGCTATGTAACTTCTAACAGCATGCACATATATGCATTGTATAGTATGCCAAAAGTTTATTAATCTAACCTCCACAGTTGCATTTCTTTAGTCTGTAGTGCTTGCTTTTTGCCATCTTAACTTCTTTGCATACCTGCCATTTTTCTTTATTCACTTTAAAAAACAAACTTGAGAGGAAAAAACACCTTCTGCCACGGACAACTACCTAAATATTCATTTGACTCTGACTTCCAGGTGAATAGCATAGACCTCTATTGGATAAGACAGCAGAATGACTGTACATTGACAGCCTCTGTGGGAAGCACTGCCAAATGGAGATCGGAGACACCTAGATGGTTGCTCTCTAGGTATTTGCTGACAATAGAATAGTGGCAAGACTCAGGAACACTCGGGAAATCTACTGTAGTGGAATTTGTTTGATTTATTTCTTCCTTTACTTTGTACCCTCACACTCAGTCTTGTTCCAGTCCTTTTTTCTTCCCGCTCTTCATGTCTCATCCAGCACCCATTCTCCTGGCAACACTCCATAAATTGTTTGTCCCGGGCTCTTTGTCCAGGCAGTTCTGGGTTTCCCTCTCTTGCAAGAAGAGTCGGGTAACCTTGTATGGAAGTATTGCAATGCAATAGGAGTCAATACTTTTCCTGACCAGGGTGGAAATAAAGCAAACCAAGGTTGGAAACTCCTTTGTGGTTATTACAGAATTACTAGTCCAGTTACTTGTTGCTTTGTTTGGCCAACATGGTGTGATGCAGAAAAATGTAAGCTACTGTATTTCAGAAGAAAGATAAAGATATGATTGGAGAATTGTTTATGGATATCTGCCCTCTGTGTCATTCGGTGTCTGTTCTGTTACAGGAAAGCAGCTCTGGAGGCTGCTATGAGAAAGAAGATTGAATTTGAGAAAAAAGCATTGCGTATTGTTGAACAACTCCTGGAAGAGAACATTACTGAAGAGTTCCTTCTGAATTCTGTAGGTGTTTATACTATTTTGTATCTTAGTGTTCAACTTTTTTTTTTTTTTTTTGAGTTCTTGGAACAATTTGCTGCAGTTTAAAGCAGACAAATCATTTAGTCCCTCTCTCGTCAGCTCTGATGATGATTGCCTTATTTTCAAGGGTTCTGCAATGAAAACATGGCCTAGTTTTGCAGGACTGCATACATTTATGAATCCTCACTTTATTACCACAGCCTTTGTTTATGCCTCTGTGGTTCTAGACTGATAGGTGAAGTATGAAAATTTAGGTCCACATCACATCATCTGTGAATTTAGACAAGGTCTCTACAATGCCCCACAGTTTATCTGGCAGCACAGTTTTGCTGGAACGGTATGATGATTACTCCTGTTAAGGTTGTAAATAGGCTGATAAATAGGTGTACAAAACATGTAAATAGAGGAAAATTATGAAAATAGGTGCAAATAGAGGCACAATTATGAGGCTTTTCTGTATGTAAAAAGAAGTGCCCATGTCTGTCTTCTTCCCCTATTTACCCTTTTACCATTTTTATTGTGTAGGTTCTAAACGTTGTTTATTAAACTTACTAGATAACTGTTACAAAATTAAAAATATTTATTTGTTTATGAGATGTTTTGAGTATGAAAAATGACAGGTTTTCCAGTATCTGTTGTTGAACTATTTTCTTGTCATTTTAGGGAAAATTTATCACTCCATCTCACTATAAAGACATTGTTGATGAACGGTCTATCATCAAACTATGTGGTTATCCTCTATGTCAAAATAAACTGGAAAATGTAAGTTGCTTTTTGTTAATGCTGTTATCATAAGAATCTCTTCACAATTTTTATTCTTTTGCATTTTTTCTTTAATTTTAAACTTACAATATTCAACATAGATTAAAATACTGTCAAGTAATGGGCCAGGCATCCTATCATTCCATTTCAGTATAATCCTTCTGAAGTAAAAGGTAAAATTTGATCAGTTGACAACCATTAGTGTATGACAGAATCAGTTAGCATCTACTTTGACAGTAATAAAGATGAATGAGGTATGGCTTCATGGTCTTCCTTTGTGCATGCAGAAATTTTCTGATCTTGTTCCTTCTTCAGTGTAACCACATATCTCTGTGAGAAAGATTGAAGTGAAAAAAATAATACAATGCAGGGGTATCACTGTGAATGCATTTACATCTGCTCTAAAAATGTACGTTACCTGTGCCAAAATCATAGTCACGCTTATTTAAGTGTGGTATGTCAGAGCTGAACTCAGAGTTCGTTTAGATAACCTGTGATGTGATACCAGTTGTGGTATACCTGATTAACTGAAAAAAATCTACTCAAGTACAAAAAATTTTACTGTTTTGGACTTCATATGTCCCCACTGAAATTCACTTGGAAACTATATTATATTTTATGTAAGTTCCTCTCTGGGTTTGTCTGGGTAGTGGTGGGGGTCTGACAGTACAGTCTCACGTGCATATAAATAGCTATAGATTAAAGAAGGACCTGTCTGTAATTGCCCAACACTTACACATGAGTAAAGTTTCTGCCATGGCAGCTCCACTGTTTTATGTTCAGCGCTGGCTTTCTTGTAGATCTGAAGTTGTCTTCTACTGATAGTGAGATGTAAATGATTAAAGATAAATTGTCGTTCTTACATCTGAGAAGGTACAATATCAAAAGAACTGAGAGAAAAGGTGGTTGTAGTATGCAATTCAGTTAAAATGGAACATATTACACATATTAAAATATGTGAATTAAGAATGAAGTTTTCTGTAAAGTCATGATGGAAGTAACAGTCTTGCTGATGAAAGCATATTGTTTTAGGTGCCAAAACAGAAGTACAGAATTTCAACAAAAACGAACAGAGTTTATGATATCACTGAAAGAAAGGTATGGTAACAAGTCTATTTCTAAAATATATTTAATATTGTCTCAACATCAGAAATGCATTTTGTAACAGCATTCATCTAGTAGCTTGATTCAGAGCCAATATGTTTGGTTCTTATGAAAATTTCATGAACTGTTAGAATATGAAGTTTTTTGTGCACTTCAGTTTCTAGATGCTCTCTTTGGAAAGACAAAAAACAATTTATTTTCTTTTCTAAATTTAAACACAACATGGAACGTTTTACTTGGATAGCAGTTTGAACGTGGTACAGCTGATCTGTTAAGGACATTTGTGGAGAAGTGTTCTCTATATTGGTATAGCCAATGAGCTTTAGTAGGGTCAGAGCGCACATCCTTTTCATTCACTGAAGTTTGCAGTAGTGTAATACAGGTTACATCTTATGCATTCCTTAGTGTGACTACCTTCAGGGTTCTTTTTTGAGGACTTTTCAACATTAAACCTATCTCTTCACAAAGTCTGTTTCTTTCTTTAAGCATATTCATGCATGTGGTTGAGTAAAAGTCGTCTTTGCCTACTCACAGAATACGCAATCACCTACAGGTGCTTGTACACTAAATTGCAGGGTAAATGTTTCTAGTACCAGAAGAAATTTCTTCAGTGTCACTAGCATACATTCCTTTCCTCTGGTTACAACTCTGGGATACACAAAATTCTGGGAATTGCTTTCTCAATCTACTAAGCAAGACTCCAAGAAGAAGTGGGATGTTTTGTCTTGTTCCCTGATGCAAGTGTGCAAGTTAATTTTTCAAAGATACTGCAAAATTTTAGGTGTGGTTCTGAGTAATGCAAAATATCCAAGTTCTGTTGCCAACCAAAATTTTCATTGTTAAACACCTGAATTTTATTGCATGTCTTTATGACCATCTTGTTGGGTTAGGGATTGCTCTTAGAACAGTTTTGGGTTTTTTTTAAATTATTGTTATGTAGAATCCAACACTGGTTTGCTTCTCAGTATGTAATAAAAGTGCAAAAAGCAGAAAAGTGGGGAAAAAAGAAGAAACTTCAAGTGGCTTGTGGGGAATGGGATAGACCTATTTGATAGGTTTGGTTTCTCAGGTGAATCAAAAACCTGGTCATAGGTGTAAAAAGAAATGTGAATTGGTACTTAAATTTTACAGGCATAAAGCAACAATGACTTTTGTACCTTTCTATGAGTATTAAAGTTGTCTTTAGTCATATTTTCTTGCTTTCTCTCTCTTTTCCAGTGCTTTTGCAGCAACTTCTGCTATAGAGCATCTAAATATTTTGAAGCTCAAATTTCCAAAAGTCCGGTATGGATGCGAGAAGAAGAAAAGTAAGTATAATCTTATACATTCGTTGCTCCTTTTGAGAATATTATTTTCTCTATCCAAGCTGCAATGCTAATTAATTAGCTGCAATGCATCAAAATGATTAGGCTGAAGCAGAGGTAACTGATGTTAACATGTTAGCTTCGGGCGGTGTTTGTTTTAAAAGTGTTGTTGCCATATTGATCACAATAATTGACGTGACTCAGTACTACGCATGACTACTCAGTAGACATGACCATGTTAGTTTAGAGGGCAGACTAGTCATAAATAATAGTCAACTCCAATTAACTTTAAAATGTACTTACTAGGATTGGATTTTTACAAACCATGTAATGTACAGGATGAATTCATCTTATCCTGTTAAGAGATTTTCTAATTTTAGCACAGCACTTGGCATTGGTCTTAAGGTTAGACTATGAATGCTTGCACCTGAAAGCAGACTATAACATGAAGAGGTTCTTTATCCTGGCTAAACCCCTAATTTCAGATTGCCCATTTCCTGCTGCTACTGCAATACACATTTTGGAACAGTGTGATGCAGTCCATGTTCCTCGCTTAGGAAACATAGGCTTGCAAATAATGAATTGAGCCAATGGGTGTCACTGTTTAACAATAAATACTTGCCTAGAGAATGTTCAGCTGAATTTATTCAGCTTTCGTTCTCCAAGACACTGCTTTTCATAGTCTCCTGGTTTTCAACAAAAGAAACTAGCTGAAATTATATGTGTGAGCTTGGTTTCACAGTTCAGATCAGTCATATGAAATACCTGATCAACGAGAGGAGAGGTTTAGAGCAGCCTGATCTGATCTGAGGGATTCTAGTAGGTAAAACTAGTCCCTTCATTAGGTGTTTAAGTAAGCTTGCCAGTATTTTTTGTGCTCTTGTTTAGCTGTCTTTAAAGAAAGTATTTCTAAAATCTCCCTTTATTCTTAAGATTGAAAGTGTATAGTTCTGATATGCCTGACGCAGTTAATTGTTTATGCTGTGTGGCGGTGGGGAGGCGGTATTTTCAAAAAACAAACAAAACCCCAGGTAGTTCATGGCTAGGTATGTCTGTTTGCACACCACATACATGTGCGCACACTGATAAACATTTACACATTAGGATATCTGAAATCCTTTTGACAGAAAAGACTACAACCTCCACTTAAAACTCTGAAGAAGAGTTAATAATTTAAATCATTGTATGTTATCACCTTTCGTTTCCAAACTCAATTCATTCATATGAGTGGTGCAGCTTTCATCTTTTCAAACTTGTGGCGTTTGTTCTCTACTGTCTGAGAGGTGTTAGTGCATTGACTTGTGTTTAGTGCATGCTTAAAAGGTTTTCTTTCATTCATAGGACAGGTGGGTGAGGATTTCAACATTTAGTGTTGGATAAAATGAATAGCATGGTGATGCTGCCTCATAACTGAATTGAAGCAGATTAACTGCAAGTAGAGCTTTGGAAAGAAACCTGTCAGAATTTGTTTAGTTATGGTTCTTAGAGTTTCTGGAAACCTTTGAACTCCACTTTCTTAAAGCAGTATAACTTGATGGCCTAATTCTTAACAAAGCAAAATTTTAAATAAGTAAAGATATCCTGAATATTCATTTTTTCTGCATTAATTTGAAGCATTTTCCTATAAATGGCCCAGGATTGTTTATAGGGACTTTGTGACCTGTGAGGATCTTGGCATGTTTACTTTGTTGAAGAGGAGACCAAAGGGTGATCTGAAAGCAGTCTACAACTACTTGAAAAAAAGTTACAAAGATTACAGAGCCATACTATTCTTGGTTGATGGTGGAAAACTTAGCAAGAGGTGATGGCCACAAATTATCGCATGGATGGTTCAGGTTGGACATTGCACTAAGGTTCTGGTGGAGTGAAACAGGATAGTCAGCAATGTTTGAAACCTCCATCTTTGGAGGTTTTCAAGATTTAAACTTCATGAATTTGTGGCTGACCTAATCTAATGCTGGTGACAATTGCATTACAAGCAGGAGGTCAGACTAGAGATCTCCAGAGGTCCTTTCTGACTAACGTATGTGTGACTTGCTGATTCTGTTAAATGCTGTTCGACGTAACAGCATCATGCTGCAGGCTCTGTGGACATGTATGTATAAACCTGCTCTCACTAACCCTGCCTTGAACAGAGGGTGTTGAACTAGAAGATCCTCAGACGTCCCTTCCAACCTCAACTATGTATTTTATGTATTAATGTGTATTTCAAGAGCATTGCTTTAGCAGGAAAATCTTAATTCTCTATCTTCTTTTTGCAGACCACCAGACATAGAGCTGCTGAAGGAGGGACAGAGGTACACTGAACAATAATTTTTTTTGTTATATGCACTTATAGTTAGAAATATTAGCATCATATCAGGTGAAAGGGGAATCTTTGATTTCCTGTGTTATAGACAAGACCTTAATAGAACCTACACAAAGGATTATTTGTCTTGTTTAGTTTTTTCCATTGTGATTCTAAAACAGCATATTTGATCTGTATGATGTAGTGTACAGCTGCTCTTGGCCTGTATGTCTTAATTGAGCCTGTTGAAATCTGAGACAAATACACTGTTTGTACTTTGCATATTTTATACCATCTATTCTTTATAAAGAAAATGGTACCAATTACATGTGATGAAAGCTTCTGTACCTCTTAATCTAAAACATCTGTATCAGCTAAAATGAAATCATGCTATTCTGTCATCTCTCTGTACCTTGCTGTGTAATGTGACTTTTTGTTTGTTTTCTTTTGCAATACATAGCCATTAGGTGGCAAACTTATATATGCTAAAAACAGCTCTGCTGTCCCCCCGATTTCAGGGTATTATATTCATACGTATGTTAAGATGCCTATCTTCATTTTAAAATTGAACTATTCATCATGCTAAGTCTGACATTACTCTGTTGTCTTTAATAAAATCTTGTTTACTATTCTTTTCTAACTTCCAATAAGCAACTGAGAATTCCCTTTTCTAAACTTGTCATCTTGATTGCAGAACATTACAACTCCTTGAGTTCGAGAAGACTTTTAGAAGAGCAGCCACGATTCTTAAAGCAAAAAAGTACACTTCTATTATAAGGGAAAAATGCTTTAGTTCTTTCTTAGACAAGAATGAAAAGTTATTACAGGTAACACCCATTTCTTATTTCACTGATAGCTTGCCTTTTCTCTTGCAGTGGACAGTCTGGAGAAGAGGTGAAACTATGCGATGAAGTAATTAAAGCGTCTGACATTGAAAATCCGAGGATATCTTCAAATCCACATGAATCTGCTTCTCACGACACAGCCAGTGACAGCAGTAGTGATACTGAACAAGAATTTGTTTCTTCTGTCCTACCAGGAAGTCAGTCAAGTTCAGCCAATTTTGCACAGCAATTGCACAGAAACAGCATCCTCAAAAAGAAGCATGCTCAGAAAGTCTATTCCAGCCCTAAAACTGAAGACTCAGATGTGGTAGAAGCCACTGAACGACTATCTAATTGTAAATTAGGTGCTAAGGAAGAAATGTATGCTTGCTCTGTTCATAATAAAATAACTGCAACGCCTTCAAAAAATACTACTTTAGGAAAATCAAGTGCTTCAGAAAACTATGAAAACACCTGTAGTGGTTCACAGATAGTTTTTCTAGGTGTGAGCAAAAGAGGGGCAGAACATCTTAAAAGAACACTAGCTAACTCAAAAGAACATAAAAAAACTGAACTGAGGGATCCAGTTAATTCCAAAGGCAGTTTATTAGAAGTGCTTAAGCAAACACTTATGGAATGGAGAACTGAGGAAACTTTAAAATTTCTCTATGGCCCAAACTACACTTCTTCATGCTCATCAGAATGCATATCATCTGCCAACCAGGAGAATGAAGAACTTGATGAGGATGACTTAGATGCAGCTGATGATCTTAACACTGTTGCTGTAGGGGAGTCTGAAAACAGTTTGAACTATTCTTTACCTTTCACAAGCCTAGGTGGAATAGTTAAGCCTGTGCCTAGTTATGAAAAGTTAAAAGAAGAAACAGAGTTCCTAGAACTCCGAGTAAAAGAGTTCTATAAAGGAAAGTGCATCTTGGCTGAAGAGGCGGTGACACATGCACAAGCAGAGGAACATCTAAGCAAAGACAAAGTAAGTGTCCAGTGGAATAGTGTCGAGGCTGTATAAAGGCTGCCTTCAAAGAATTATTACAAGCTCTTTGTTTCTGTCATCCTAAGTGGATATGGCCAAGGTAACATCAAGCTATTAATGTAAAATAGTAAAAGGAAGGTTGGATAGATTCACAACAATCCCATAAGGTTGAGGAATCATATTTTAGGTTGGTAAGAATGAGTTTGTATGACTGTTTGGGACACGTTCAATTCTGATAATTCTTTCAGTTTGTGAAGCATGAAGGTAAGGAAGGTTTACTTAGATGAAACAATCTGTCGTAAGACGGAGTAGACTTTGGGTGAGGGGGGAACATGTTTGGGGTTTTTTTCCTCGCCCTTTGATTGATTAAATAAAATTCTTATTTAATGATTTTTTGCCCTTTATTCATGACAGGGTATACTTGAGATTGGATTTCTTTCTTCTCTTGAGTAAGGCTAGATCTCTGGCATTACTTATTGTTAAAGTTCTCTGAGTTGGAACCTGCTGATTTGTTTGCGTATGTTGTTGCAATCTAGACAATTTGGAAAAAGACCTCAGGAGGATTTGCAGACCGCAAGCAATAGAGTGGTCTGAGGTTTTACCCCTTCCAGGTCAGACAAACCAGCTGACAGCAGCCGGGTGTTCTTGTCACTACTGTAAAAACAGTATGCTGACTAGGCTAGGTAGGTTGTACAGTTTGTACTGGTGTGTGAAATCGCTTTTGCTTTTAAAGTTCAAGTGTGATATTAGCATCAGAGGGTATAATTTTCATAATGCTGCTTCTTGTAAAACAAAGCTATTACATTGCTTCTTGGAAAAAGTTTAGTCTGACTTCAGTTTTGCAGGAATTTACCATTAGTTGAAATAAAGTATCTAGCATAGGGAAGGGGAAAAGTAGGTTAGCTGCACACTGTATGTTGGGTCAGATTAAGCAACCTTCTGTCCATTAAGAAATTACTGGTTGGTTTTTTTTTTCTATTCAGAGATAAGAGTTTTCTTATGTTTAAACATTTATTGATAAGCTGTGACTATTTTGATGCATTGACTTTAATTAAATACTAGGTTATAGCTGTTAAAGTTTTTTTTCTAATACAGGGTGATCAACAGGAAGATCTCACCTTCCCACTTGTTGATTCAAATGCACAAATGCAGATTAGAAAGCGAATCGTCCTTGAAAAACTGAAAAAAGCGTAAGTATCCTTTACTCTGGTAAATATCAAGCTGAAGTTGGTGCTGATTCATCATTTTAAGAAACAAACACACTGTGCAAGGACGTTCTGGCTTTTCCTAGGTGGCCTTAGTCATAACTTAAACCCGTTATTGCCCTAAAGAACTTACTTATTTCTGAGACAATCATCTGCGGTACAGTTGCAGATGTCAGTTTGCACAGCCTGCTGAGGTAGATGTCAGAATCTCACTATGAAGGTGTTCTCTAGAAGAAACCTGTCCTTTCCTACAAGCATTGGAGCTTGTAGTTGACAGCATTCCAGGCTGGCATGACAGCATGTTCCCACTCTTCAGTAGCTGGCAGAAGTCAATGCAATTGTGCCATTACACTGAAAAATTCTGTGTTTTTTGGATCTAAATGTTGGTATAACACAAGGAGCTTAAAATGAGAATATGCGCTTCAAAAAAAAAAAATTTCCACAGCAAGCCCTTTATTTATCATCCTCCTTGCCCTCAGTTATCCGGAAATAATCTAAACTGTTTAGATTCTTGTAAGTGTTTAAAAGCGGATTCTGATGGACATATATGAAATATTTAAATAGCTGTATGTATCAACTGCTCAAGTCTAAACTGAAAAACTTGAAGTTGATTGGGAGGAGTGCAAATATTTGTCCTGTACATTAAGCATACTGTTACTGGTAAACAAATCTGCACAGAAGGAAGTGGTGTTTTCAAACCTCTTAATATTTTAAGCAAAGATCTTGCTGAAAGAGTTTCTAGTCCATGTTTGGACGGCTGGTATCAGTATGCCTCTAGCTGCAACCATTAAAGGCCCTCAGGGTTGAAGCTTAAAACTTTCCAAACACCAGACCTTTTTCACATACATAAAAGGGCTTTGGAGACCCAGAAAAGAGATTAAGGTATCTCTGCTGTAGCTGTTAAAATTATTAAATTGTCAAAGTTGAGAGGACCTTGAAAATACTCCCGTTGTCAAGGCAATGCAGATAAATGAGTATTTGAAAGCCACGATTGTGGTGTTTTTGTTAAGGGTATTTTGCTTTTCTATGGTAGTAGTTTGTGTTAGCTAGCCAAACTAGATTTTGCAGAAGCCTTTTTTTAACTAAAAAACCCCACAACGAAAACTCCCCCCAAAAACCCAAAAAAACTCCGTTCTGTTTCTCTCTACCTGCAACAAGTGTGGACAGGCCACAAACACAGAATCAAACCATGCTGCAAAAAAGGTGGCTATAAGTGTAAGTGTCTTTCTGTAAGTGTCAATGTGACATAGATTCCAAGGACTACTAGTGTATGGTAAAGCAGTTTCTCTGCCCTTCAATTTTTCCACAAGTTTGTCAGTCATTTTCAGGTTCTAGCAAAATTTCTGTTGAACTTAAGTCTCGTACTCCATGAATAGAGGATAAGAAAGACAGAATGTTTTTTTTCTTAGTTTCTTCGAAGGTGTTATTCTTGACGTGTAGATGAGGCGCTTAGGGACATGGTTTAGTGGGCATGGTGGTGTTGGGTTGACGGTTGGACTCGATGATCTTAGAGGTCTTTTCCAACCTCAATGATTCTATGATTCTATGACTATCCCCTTCTTTAGTTGGTCTTTTTAAATTTTACGAGGTGATGCAATAGTCCTGTCACACTCAAGTGAGAGAGAGAATTTTCATTGTGATAAAGCAATGATTTCTTGGTGTGTTCAGATGAAGTCAATGGGAATATGAATATGCCCAGCATCATGAGAGTCCTGTGCTCAGTTTTTGTAAAACATGCAGTGATGTAAAGGAGAATAGAAATCTTGATTCTTCCAGCAATATTGATGCACCATGCACATATATGCATATAAATGTGAATAACTGGATGGATGTTCAAATGCAAGAGGATATTAACTATTAAACAAGTAAATAGAGGCAAAAGTTTCACCCTAAATGTGAAAAACAATGCATGTTATTTCCAGCATTTGGGGATACTGACAACTAGTTAAACCATATGTGTGGTTTGTTGTCTGCTGTATCAATTTTTACGCACAGTCAAGTAGGGAGGTAATCTGTTTTTTTCTTTCTTTTGAAATTTTCTGATTACCCTACTGTCATCTTGATTCCAACTATCAGGCTTACAGTGCAATGTTATTTCTGTTGCATCTATGTGAGTCTGAGGTTAGCAGATACATTCTCTGTGCAAACCTCATTTTGACAAGTAGTTTCCTTTTGTGTTGTTATTTTTGAACCAAGTAAATATAAATATTTGAAACATTTATGAGGCCTGGAATTCTAATCCTCATAATGTAAACACTCTGATTTTTTGGTAAGAATGTCTTGTCAGAACTGAAATGTGAAGTTAACAGAGTATGCATGTAAAACTATATTTAATTTCTTCTTCACGTTCACACTGAACTAGAGCTTCTTATTTTTAAAAACAAGCTGTTGTAAAGTGAAAGTGTTGCCCAAACACTACTCGGAGGAATCTGGAATGTGAACTACAGGCCTTATCTGCTGCACAAAAGTCGATCTCTTTTTATTAACTTTCATGAGCTTTGGTGGAAGTCCTACTTGAGAAGAAATGAGAAAGAGAGGAAAATATATATTGACCAGGGTCTTTTGCCTTCTAGATTACCTGCAGTTTTGGGCCCTCTTCAGATTACTCTAGGTGACGTTTACACAGAGCTAAAAAATCTTGTCAAAACTTTCCGGTGAGTATTGGTTTTTATCTAGAGATTCTTCTTGATTGATTAATTAAATACACTGTTGAATGATTTGTGATCAAAGAGGGCCCCATTGCAGATTTGTCCTTTTCTAGCTGTGTGTTCATGTAGGTAATGTCACATTCCCTGTGGATTAACAAGTCAACCCTTTCCCTGCTCCTGACAGTGGCTAGGTCACCAGGAGTATTTGTAGATTTTTAAAAACTAGGCCAGCGGTCTCTGGAGGATGATGGTGAGTCTTTTAAAGGTTCTGCTACCTCGTCACCTCCTATTAAGCGTGAGTTTCTGAGATCTGTCGCTTTCTTTTGCTCTGGCTCCCTGCAGCCAGGCTAAATGGTTTTAATGTGAATAATAATTGTTACCACTAACTTCTAGAGCCAGGAAAAAGGTCCAGTTTGACCTCTCTTGTTCCTGATTTCAAGGGGAAGTAGATCTAGTGGACACTTTATCACCACAGATGAAGCTTCTGTTTCAGTCAGAAGCACTAAAGACAGTATTTGGAAATGCTGGGCTAAAGAAGGAGGGGAAACAGAATGGTGGCAACTTCTCTGAACATTTTTAGGTTTTCTTTGGGACACAATTCTCATAACTTGGACCTAGATCATGTCCTGCACCTTGAAGTATCGTCAGGAAAAGGAGCAACAGCAGTTGCTAACTCTGCATACGTTGTCACTCTGGAAAATTCCCCCCCACATCCCCAACCTGCATGAGGTTTACATGTACATTTTCCAAAACTCATTCATGTGGCGTTTCCCACAAGGAATCTAGGCTTTGGTGAACAGAAACCCAGCTCTACTTGATTCCTTATGATTTATCTGATGTCTGGAAGGATACCGCTAAAACACAGATCTCTATATGCAGGATTTCTTACTATGGAAGATACTCTTTTCCTTTCTGGTGACTCTCTTGGTGCATGATCTCTTTTATTTAAAAGAATTGTTAGTGTTTGAACTTGATTCTGTAATTGCAGTCTTTTAAGTTGTGATTAACCTTTTATTTTAACAACAACACTGAAACCAGGGAAGATATTTTTGGTTATATTGGAGCAGCATGTATATATACCTACTATTTGAACAAGATCAACAAAAACACTTTTGTTGCTCTGCAGTCTGAATGCTTAATAGTCACTTTAGCTTATGGATTGACAGAACTGGAAAAACTACATTTGGTGTCTTTCAATCTGCTTTTGTATGATTGAAAGCAATGTATGTAAGAAGTCCTGGAGGTTCTTAAAAGCAGAACTTGTATTTTAAATCGTTTTTGCTATAAGACAATGTGGCCTGAATATGAAGTTTTAAAAGTGGTTTGCAGCAAAGGAGCCTTGAAGCAAAATGGACTTCTAAAAACTTGTGTGTATATATATACACCTGTGGATTTACAGAATGAAACCAAGTCTAATTAATTTGAACTTTGATCCCAATACCTGGCTCATGTAGCAATAATTTACCATATTTTAAAAGTCTCCCCTGATCTATTTCTGATCCCTCAGATAACACTTCCTGAGTTTATTTTTAAGTCTTTTTTTGTTAGGAAGTAAGTTGAAGGTAATGGTAGCAAGTTCTTAGGGCTCTCTTACTGTCAAGATTCCAGATAAATTGCTTAGAAATTCAGCATTTTGGGCGGGGGATGGTTGAAGAGAATTGCGGGCACTACACAAGAATTTGTAAGTGCCTTTACCTCCTTCCCTCCTTCTCTCTCTCAATGGAGTTTTATTGTCACTGATAGTAAAATAATACAAAAATACAGGAAATAGGGAAGCATTAAAAATGTTTGGGCCCTTTCTCCTTCTTGCACTTCTGATACACAAAATTGTCTGTTAATACACAAAAGCTAGCTCATGGTATTAAGATGAAAGCATAGGTTTGACTCTCCAGTTCTGTACATAAGTTTAAAATTACTTAATATGAGTGGTCTCTCTGATTTTAGGTTGAATGCTTTGGCAGGGTGACCTGGGATAAATTTTAAAAGGTATTTATGTTTGCAGGGTATAGAAATTTAAACATTGCTTTCTTTGTTAATGTGGTTAAAATGCGTAATGACTATGGAGGGAGACTGACAAATGCTAGTGCTCTTCCCTGCTTTCTGTACGGGAAATATTTCAGGCTGAAGAACTTGCCAAAGAGGGTAGGAGATAAAACACATGGCTGTAGTAGAGCTTAGCTGAAGAAGGGTAAAAGAGCATGTGGTGAACTAAGAAACAACAATTTTCAGCTCCATTGGTTTTTAAAGGAACACTTGCAGTTCAGCCTCCTTTGGGCAGCATTTTATTCAATCACCACTGCTGGGAAACACACTAGAGGGATCTCAAGAGACATTTTAGAATGGTTAGAGCTCTTCCCAAACAAAGTCCCTCAGTGCCTGTAAGCTTTTGTTACGAAAACTGAGATGTCAAATAATTCTCCAGAGTGTGTAAGGGCACTTTGTTAAAAGATCAAGAGAAAATTAGCTATTTATGTATAAATCGAGGCTAAATGATTATGTTTGTGAACGTGTAGTTGTTTTTTTTTAAGCATAATACTTCATATTGAAAATAGAATTTCGTCTGTATCTTACGGTTGCAAGTATTTTAATTCCTTTTATGGAGCTTATCATTGACATTGAACTCTGTCAGTGAATATGATACAGTTGTTTCCTAAAGATGTGTTCAAGACTTTCTATTACAGCTTTGTCTTACCTTGTTTCCAAGACAATATTTTAGCTTTTAAATATGTACCATGAATGTACGTTATCTAGTGTATACACTCAACTAATAGGCTTTTACCTGTTACCCTTGTTAAGTGGAATTTTAGGTTCTGGGTTTCAAGTCAATCAGCAATACTTTGTCGTAGACAAGGTTCTGTGTGGAAATGTGAAAGTACCAAAACGTTAATGACCTTTTCTCAAGTAAATGGGCTTCTCTTGAAGAGAGCCTAAAGTTATAATAGTGGCTCATCTTTGCTGGTTGTCATCAAACTAAATTATACTACAGTATGTAAATATGTTTTTTCAGGGGGTAGAAGAGCTGTCTTTTATGGTTAAATTGGTCTAGTTGAAGCCTAAAGAAAAACAATCTGTGCTTTAGTATTTGTCTGTGCTGACCTGGGTTAGCTAAACTTCGCTCATCTTAGTGCAAGTTTTGGAAAAATTATAGATAGCTGAGGTCCCCTAAAGTCACAACTTTATGTCCTAATCCCATGAAGTCAGCTTGCTGCCTTACAGAATAGGCAAACAGCCAAACTAACAGGTCAGATTCTTGAACTGAAGTTACATATGCCTACACCTGGGAGCCTGGATGTGTAAACAAAAAACTGCTTCATTTGCAAAGATGCTGATGACTTCACTTTGCAACAAAGATAAATTGTAAAACGAAAGAAAGAAAGCAAGAAAGTCTTCTCCATTTGGGGCACATTTTTTTTCTTTTTCTCCCAGTGTAAGAACATGGACATACTGGGTAAAACTGAAAGACAGCAAGCATGGACCTGTTCAAAGGAATGTTTTTTCACCAAATGTACATTTAGTACCAATAACTCATTGCTGCCGGCTATTAGTCAAATTCATAGTAACATGTTAAAAATTGAACTCATAGATTCATAGATGGCAAGTATATTCTCATTGTAAGGACAAACAGACTTCTAGAAAAGGAAATAACACTCAACACTATAATTTATAAATAGGTATAAAGAAAAATGTACTTTAAAAAAATTGTTTTCTATTAACCAGTTACATTTTCTTGCGTCTTGGCATAATACCTGATGCTAGGGGCCTGTTAGGGGATAACTATTTAACATAATAATCCTGGTGTCCATCTGCCATTCCCCATTGAACAGTGTTCCTCTTTCAGATTGTTTCCTAGAAATCGCAGGAAATGTAATCCTGCTGAGGAAAGGGTGGCAAGCTCCTGCATTGCTGAGTTTCTTTCCTACAACTTCAAGTTTGTCTTGGTCCCCATTCAAGTTCTTGCACAAGGCACTTAGGGATGTGCTTAAATCTGCTGCCACAGCAGGCACTGTTTACAAATCAGACCATCATTTGCTAATGGAGTTCTGCTAGCAAAATTTGCAGCTGACAGGAGTTAAATGGGAAGACAACTAAAGGAAAAGTACAACCAACTGTGTGTTCTCTTTTTCTGTCATTTTTGGGTTTACTTTTTTATTTACTGGTTACTTTAACCTTGGACTCCCCTATATTCCTACAACTTCTGTATTGGAGTTCACTTTCTTTGCAGGCTGGGCACTAATCAGTTATTGGGAGGTCATTTGGCATGGAATTTTTATGCATCTTGCTCTTTAGTCCTTTATCCTGTCAGCTTCTGCCATTTGGATCCATCTGCTCAGTCTGAGCTCCTTCGTAGAGTATTATAACTGCTGCGTGAGTCCTGCTGCCTGCTGGATGGTGGAAGCCACCAAGTCCAGCTGCAGTGCATCTTGCTGGGGTGAACCACAACACCCACAAACTAGCAACTAAGCAACCCACACAGCTATTTGGGATCATCCAACCTTCCTGGCTTACCTATCCTGCCCTACAGAGGCCAAGAAAGTAGAGCCATTCTGTTTTGAAAAGTTGCATGTTGTTTTCTTTCTTTGGGTAGGTGAGGGAGGATTTAGCCAAACTCTTCTAACAGAAAGTATTTCACTGCAAAACTCAAATCATGTACACAAAGTTTTGTAGAGTTTTAACATTTCCACATTATATGTTCATGACAGAAATCTAGTGACCTCTCTTTCATGGATTGTTCTGAAGTAGCAGTTTTGGCTAGAGGCAAGACAAAGAATTAATGAACTATTTTTACAGAGGACTTGCTCTTCCATCTTTTCTGAAAGCTTTCCTCTTCAGAGGCCTTGGTGCTGGCACACAGCTTGTTTTTGAAAGTGACTGCCCTTCCACTGCTCCTTATTATTTAAGGCTTCACACCTGTAGGTTGCTAGCTTTAGTCTGATCTGCCCGAAATGTTTTTTTTTTCAGCTGCACAAGTGCTTTAGGACAGGTGTTGTACTGAAAGGTTACTCATTGTGGAAGCCTGACTTGACTGTTCATCCAGTCCAGTGACAGTAGTACATCAGCAGATCCATACTGCCGTATCCTGCTGGTTATCTGTGTCTTTTGACTACCTCCTTCATAAATAGCGTATTGATGGCAATGACTAGTGTTCAGACCTTGCCAATCAATACTAACATTGAATAAGAGTTAATTGACACAAATAACTGCATCTCTCAGTTTGTGTGCAAGAATGACACCTTCCTGTGCTCTAATCAATAACTCCTTGTAGAGCATTGAAATAAAGCTGCTTTCTCTATTTGACAGAGTTTTCCCAGGTGGCTTGGAGCTGTCTCTTTCATTGTGTCTCATCATAGCAGATTAACTGGAATGTTACATATGAATTGCTTGTCAAGATGATTCCATCAGGCTTTTCTTGGTAGTGTTTATCACTGTCATCAGTATTGAGTCAAGACGTTCAGCCTTTGTTTTGTCTCTTGTTCTATAGCCAGAAAAATGTAACCGTTTACCAGGTACAAGCTTTGTTGCCAGCTAATGCCATTAGCTATTTCAAATAGTAATTGGGAAACATGAATCTTTTAATAACAAAAATAATCTGTATTTGCCAGAACTATTGGTTCTAGTTTGATGTGGCAATTCCTGTACATGTAGCACAAAGCATTGCTTTTCCTTTCATCACTTAACAAAACTCAGGCTGTTGAGGGACTATTTGAGTAATCAATGCTTCAAAATCTTATTTTGGTTGGAAGACTTGGAGATTTGAGGAGAAAAATAGGATAATATTGCTTTAATTTTTACTATTCTTAAATAAAAATTTTATTAATTTTTAATATCTTTCTGAAATAGGGAAATGAAAAATGATCCTATAAAACATCTTATTAATAACTGCATTTTTAATGTTTTTAAGCACCATTTTGAATATAATTTTGGGGAATTAGTTAACAGAATTTGAATTTTAACAATGGCAAGTACAAATACTTTTATTTTTTCCACTTTTTAACACTTTTTTGGGTAACTATATACTTGCCCCAAGAAATTAAAAAAAAAAAAAACAGTCCTACTGGGGAAGAAAACCCTGGATTTGAATTTGTTGCCAGGTATTTCATTTTAAGCAGCCTCCCATCTTCACCAGCGCCTGTAGAAGTGGGTATGAATGACAGGGTAGCTTCATTCTGGATTCGAATTTACACAAGGCTGCATAGAAGGGAAGCTGAGCGGGAGAAGGAAGCAAACATAGGGAGGCACTCGCCCCTCAGTATTTCTGTTGGATGGCGCCATCTGTCTGAAAAAAATTAATTCTGCTAGCCTTTTTGGGTGCCCGCATAGCCACAGCTTCGTTTTTAGCTGTGACTTTTCCATGAAATTGCTTGTCTTGAACACCATGGGTCACGCCTAAATTCAGCCATAGCAATTCGCACGTGAATTGTTTTAAGTCAGATTAACATTTGACTTAAAGCAGATCTGTCATCTTATGAAGTTCAGCCAAATGGGTCAGCAGGTATAAAATGCAGCAGCACTTTGGTTGAGCACCCATGTGGTTCTTGAGTCACACCTCATTTTCTTGCTCTTGTATCTGCACTGGCTCCCATTGCATAAGCTGGAATTCTGGGTTTCTATTTTAAAAACAAGAATCATCAGAGGATTGTCTCCAGTATCTTATAAAATCCAGTCTGTTTCCACAACATTAGCTTTTACAGCAAATCTGGATCTGAAGCCAACAGGGGGGAAACTAAGTGTAGGAAGGCCCATCTTTTTAGAAACGCATGTGCAGTTCCTGAGAATTTCCCAGTGGGTATGAGTGAGAGCTGAGCCCTCACAGCAGCCAGGACTATTTACGAGCTAATTCAGAGAATTAGCTTCTGTTCTGTCTTCCCCATCCCACTTTCATGTAGAAAAAAGAGACATACTGGGAATTCTGCAATTCCTCCATTACAGGGTAAGATGAGAGAGAAGCCTGGAAGTTGGTGAATTGCTCAGATACAGCTATAATTGCTACATTGTAACTCAGTGTATTATGTCTTTTAATGGTAGACTTAAATCAAAATTCAGCAGTTAAAATCTGTTTACTTTCACTCTGAAATGTTCTGACTTTTTTTTATTATTTTTCAGATTAACAAACAGAAATATTATTCACAAAATGCCTGAATGGACTCTAATTGCTATTGTTTTGTTATCTGTGTAAGTACCCTTTAATGTCAAATATTCTCATACACAACTGTCTTAACTAGCCTATTGAGACAAGATTTAATTTTCAGATAAAAGGAGGGAAGGATTTCTGTAAATTAACTGGGGAATCAACAGAATTATTTTTTCATGCAAACGAACTAAATTCTCTTGACAAAACAGGATTGTCCCACCTGCAACAACATGTTAACAATGGACAAACTTAGGTTAAAAAAAGTTAAGCTTTAGGGATTTGTAAAGAGGGCTGGTGGGGTGAAGGAGTATACTTCACTCTCTTCCATTTGCTGCTGACAGACATTCTTCCCTTCTCTGACAGTAGGACAAAATGACGTGTATTGTATTACTTGGATTTGGCATAACTGTTACACTTTTCATTTCTCATTTTACTTCTAATTTCTTAAAAGATTTCACTTTCACGATTAAAGTCAAATTATTTCCATAAAGATGTGGTGTGCTTCTAAATATGTTTGTTTGAATATTCTAGCAAACTTCTTTGAGAGGGGAAAGCTTTTTTAGCAACTCCAAAATTTCTGAAAGGAATACTGGGACCCAGTATTTTATTTTTAGAAGGATTAGCTTTACTGCTTAAGATTATGATACTACAGTCCCTACAGTCCTCCTTAGCTTTGTTCTACTTACTGTACAATTAAATTCTTTCCAAGGGTTTTCCTAGTGGGAAGCCCGATTTTATTATAGTGTCTTTCAGTAAACTTCTACACAGAGGCATGATGTAGAAAAGCTCTAGTCATATGCATCACGTAACTTCCTTAATTTATACTTTCCAAATTCATGTACATTTCTGAAGTTAAAGATATAAACTTTGCAGTGTGTAAAACAGACACTTGTCTCACAAATTCATATTAAACATTTCACATTAGTTAACCTTTTAAGAAATCACTGGTGGTTTCACACAGTGTCAGGCCCTGCCTTTCAGTAGGGTTAAATCATCAAGCAACCTCTGTATGTCTTTCAGCTTGAATTACAAGATTGCAAAAATCTTATTCCAGAGACTGTTTATTACCAGACTGCTGCTGCTGCTTTTGGGCTTCCTGGGTCACTGGAGCCTGTAGGACAGAGAAGTACTTACAGACATTCACAGGTCAAGAAGTGTTGTGGGCCAACCTCAGAGCATCCCCAGTACTGCACTTACTTTCCGTGATATTACTTCAGTCTGACACATTGTTCTGGCTTTACTGTCCCAAGGAAGACTATACCAGCAGGCATTAGAGTAGGCTTCAGCGAGCCTTACATCTGTGTCACCCAGCCAGATACCGCTCAAATGATTCATTAAATCAGAACACAGAAAGTAACTTTACTTGAATGCCTTGGCATAAATTTTTTATCAACTAGAAGAACAAATCTTTTGTCATTTTTACTATATATTCTTATGGTTGAATTGGTAATTTGTGAAACAGATCTTATGAATTTTTCAAGTATTTTCTGTACATTTAAGGAAATGGTGACTCTCTCGATCAGAAGTTAAAATAATGTTGCTGGTCTCTCCGCATATGATGAGCTCTGAATGTTTACATACCTAATGGTTGTTTTACAATTGCTTTAAAATGTTACAAAAGTAGCAGGCAGTCTTGGTAGCAATCAGTAGAAGCAGAGAACCAAGTCTCTTTTTACTTTTGCTTTCTACGGGTCCACCCCTAAACAAATGAATTGTATTTGATCCTAAATTAGAGTAGATTTTATTTCTAATATTATTCTAGTGAAATAATGAATAAAACTCCTGTTGACTTCAGCTTATTGTAAGGTTCTTGCAAGCTCACAATCTTCAGTTTTTGAACAACTTCTCTCAGCCCCCTCTTAGGAGAGGATGTGGAAGAATGTAGATGGGGTAGAATGAGTGTTAGGATTGCTCTAAGAAGATGATGAGTGTTGCATCATTTCCAGAAAGATTAAAACAGAACATTTAATTATGTGGGAATTCTAATCAAACTTGAATATTTAATGGAAGCCAACAGTGTGCAGGGAAAGGTTACTGAGGACCTGGGCAACCCCGCTCAGACAGGTCCTCAGATTGTGGCCCTTTCTCACCTCCTGTAGTCTGCCAAGGAATCTGTCATATCTTACTAATATTGCTTGTAAAAAGAATTACACTCTATTAAGTCTTCTCTGGCTTCCCCTTAGCTATACTGAGAGATGATGCATGTGGCAGCACATGTAATATCATTTTAGATCGCAGAGTTGTGTGGGGCCTGAGTCAGAGTGGCTCTTTACTAGCTTCTGTCACTGAAAGAGGAGAACGTTTTCAGAATATGTATTCACAGGTCTTGACCTGGTCCCAGACACAGGATGGCCGTTTTACTCCTAACACTAAACAGTGAAGTAGCATAAGCAACACCCAGGAAGAGGATAATACTTCCTCTTTCCAAGAGGATGAAAGACCATATTACAGGTACCCTGGGGTGCAGGAGGTATAAGAACAGAGACTGCAGAAGGCAGAGTGAGCATGGGATTTCAGGGTATACCTCAGAAGAAACTACTAAGACCTCAAATATTTTTTGTTTTGCTTGGAAGGGGGCAGGGTTGTTTTGTTTGAAATAGCAACTGTTGGACTTTGCTTGCACCCCATTTTGTGCATCGATATTGTGGCTTGCCACTTCCTTCTCATATATGGCTAGCGTGTGCTGAGGACTCAAACGGTGTACTTAACTTCACAGTGCGCTTTCAGAGTGCCCCGACCCTTTTTTTGGTATGCTTCTGGGCAGAATAACTATTATTATTACTGCTGTATTGAATTCAAGTGTCATCACTGCTTAATACTTTGTATTATGTTATGATAATGCTGTTCTTTCTTCACTGGAGTGTGCACATTAACTCTTTGTAGGATACAGCATATTGGAAAGTCATAACACCTAATTTTGATGCTTAAATTAGATGTAGCCTCCCTTTATAGTTTGCTGGTCGCCGAGAAGCTATTAAAAGTACTCATGTGCCCTTGAGTCTACTATTAAACTACTAAAGAAACCAGTGCTTCTAATTCATTGCTCTGAAATAAAGTGCCTGAAACTAGAGAGTGTGACTGTCTTTCTCGAAGTATAAAGTCTTGGAGATCACAACAGTGGAGCATTTCCTGTTCCTAGTGAACAGCTGGATTTATTCAATCAAATTATCGTATAAAAGATGAACAGCCAGTCTCAGCCTTTATTGAAAATCTAGCCTGAGGCACTCCTATCTTTATGACCAGCACATTCAGCGTTGCTGTATCGACCTTCTTAGAGTATAGTTTGACAGCCGGAGAATTATGTTCAAATAATTGCATTCGTGCCTATCATGGAGTGAGTGACTCTTTAAAATGATCTGTAGATCGAATTTCTTATTTATTTGTCATAATTTTGGCAGTGGTAGATTTCTGTGTCTTCCTGTTGCAATGTTTAGTATGTTAAGCAGAATTTTTTGTTATAGTAATAGCTGCTTTACAATGTACTGTAAACTAGAATAGAGAAGTTGCATCTTTTTCCCCCAAAGAACTTTGCAAGATATCAAATGAAGCAGATAAATAGATACAAATACAGTAGTTGAAGAAAGAATGGAGAAAGCGGTGGGGAGATTGGTTGCTATACAAGCATGGGCACTTGCTGTTTTTAGTGTATACCCCTGGTACAGTCTAATGGAAAGCTTTCAAGATATTTTCAGGAAATGTCTGCTCTCATCTTATCTGAGCTGGCTGGTTGCAGTGAACTGTGGTCAGCTTCATCTACAAAGCCTATGCAAGAGGTTCCCCTGCTAAAAGCATTTCAAAATGTTCTGGGATTAGTTTATAAGCATTCGGCTGCAGTATTTAAACAAACTCAGAATGACCATGATCACTAAACAAAAGCAATCATTATATGTGTGCAGCCACTTTAGATAAATGTGTCATGTGGAGATGTACTCTAGAGGTTTACTCTCTTGGAGATAACAGTTCAGGAACTGGAGAATCTTGGGTTCAAGTATGCGTTTTTACTTCTTTGCACACGAGAGCACATCTATTGCTCAACACTGACATTTTACATTATTTTAAGAGAAATTCAGATGTTTGTGATATCGCTACTGTGTTCTTGTCTGAAAATGTCTGAATGTTTGAAATGTACAAATCTAATGTACAAATACATATTGGATATGAATCAGACTTGCAGAGTGACTCTTCTTCCTACAGAAACCACATACAAGTCAGCTGGATGATCTTTTATTTAGCAAGTCTGATGATAGAAGATTGGTTCCAGGTTTCAGCTGAGAAAAATCATTTATCGTTAAGCTAGAAATAGAATTATTTCCCATTTTGAAACAGAGTTTGCAGGACCAGAAACGCAAAAAGTCTTTCTTTTTATAAAAGTGTTTGAATGTGGTCGTAGTATTGTCTCTACTCTTGGTCTCTATCTGTAGAGTTATATTATTGTGTGAAATAGAGAAAAGGAAAGTTTGTCTTAACACGCTAAATTAAAAAGTGTATTCTTCCCTTTTTCTCTCTTAATAATTTTAGGTTGTCGTTTGGTGAGTGTGAACTCAAATAGGTTTTCTGTTAAGCAGTTCTTGTGTTTGAATGTGGTCGTAGTATTGTCTCTACTCTTGGTCTCTATCTGTAGAGTTATATTATTGTGTGAAATAGAGAAAAGGAAAGTTTGTCTTAACACGCTAAATTAAAAAGTGTATTCTTCCCTTTTTCTCTCTTAATAATTTTAGGTTGTCGTTTGGTGAGTGTGAACTCAAATAGGTTTTCTGTTAAGCAGTTCTTACTTATCAGCACTTTCTAAGCGACCTCGAATCTGCTTATTTGGCATATTGTGGAGGAGATCAGTATTACTTTACTTCCTTCTAGCATGTTCCAGTATTACTTAGGAAACGTGTATAGAACAGTATTTTGAGGGATTTGCAGTGTTGTTAATTGGGACATTAATCAGTGCCAACTTTAAAATTAATTAAATATCTTCATCATTCATGAGGGAGAAAACAGAAGAAGAAACCTTAGCAGGTTCAAAGAAGGTGTTTCTCCTTATACAAAAAAA